CCTCTTGCAATGATATCTTAATTTTTATTCTCCAGTGATGCTCTACTTTAACTGAAATGCCAACTCAGATAGGGTCTATCTCCTGGCTCTTAGAGAGTAGAAATAAAGAGATGAGGATGCCAATCACTGGGTGCTACAAGACTGTGGAGTCCAAGATGTTGCCCTGGGTCCTCTCCCTTGTGATATTTACATTCTTGTAGTACCAACCCATAGTGATTAGAACTGATCTGTGTAATAGGATAAACAATGGAGTATGACTTCCCAGCTAGGTCATAAAAGACACTGCAACTTCTATCTTGTTTTCTCATGGATCACTAGGTCTGGGAGAAGCCAGTTGCTACACTGTGAGTATACTCAAGCAACCCTTTGGAGACTCAACTGGTGAGCTGAGACTTCCTGCCAACAGCCAGTACCACTTTATCAGCCGGATGACAACTAGGCAGGATCCTCCAGTCCCTTACATCTTCAAATGACTGCAACCTCTTAGAAGCCCCTGAGCCAGAACCTCCCAGCTAAGACACTCCTGATTTCCTCTCAGAAACCGAGATAATAAATAAATATTTATTACTGCCTCAGTTGAAGTTTGGGGGTTATTTTTACCCAGCAATAGGCAACTAACATGATAGATGAATGATTTGTACGATGTTTCATTATAGAAATGGGTCTAGATTTGCAAGGCCTTCCTTTAGCATAAGGTGAGTTCTTCTGAAGTACTATGCTTACCATGTCCATTTGCTGTTTACTCTGCAGTATACACCAGAAAAATGGCTTCTCCTGGACTTAGAAGAGTGATAAAGAATTTAATAATGCTATCTAAAAAAATTTAAAAATCTATTATAATAACCATGGAGAAGTGAAACTTCTTAATTGCTACTTTCATTGTGAAGTAAAGTTGAAAAAATAGAATAAATAAAAAGGAGACAAAAGGAAGGACAAGGAAATATAAATTTAATGTGAAGTTCTGCAGAACTTTCCACGCCTGTCACTTTCCACATTAGTTCCTCCAGGCTTATCACTCTCAAATTTCTGGGAAATCTATAAATCTTTGGAGTTACTTTAAATTCATCCAGTTATAAAAATTACCTGTGCACTGTTAATTACACCATGTAATAAACAGATTAAGCAAAGAAGTAGGGTATTTTAGGAAATTTATAATCTCTAGGGTACTTTCCAATGTTATCTACTGACCAAATAATGAAGACCACGTCAGCCTAAGGATCCTAAGATTGACAAGAGTACCATAAACCTTTAAAAGAAGAGCCTGAGAACCCCCAAAGTGTCTCTCAGTCTCAAAATGGTCTGCATTTTTCCTTAAATGTGCATTTCTTGTTCTCCAAAATAGATCTCTGTGCCTTTAACTGATACATTCTTAAATTATTTTCTGCTATCTTTGTCAAGAAGCTCACTTGTCCTGAGTTGAGATTCCCTTCTCCCAGGAATCCTTGGATCTCCTTCTGTGATGATTTCACTTTTTTTGGGGTGGTGGTGGTAGTGGTACTGGAGATCAAAACCAGGAGCACTTTACCACTGAGTTATACCACCAATCACTTTTGTTTCTTTTCTTTTTAATTTTTTAAAAATATTTTTTTAGTTGTTGATGGACCTTTATTTTATTCATTTATTTATATGTGGTGCTGAGAATCGAATCCAGTGCCTCACACTTGTGAGGCAAGCACTCTACCACTGAGCCACAATCCCAGACCTTTAAAATTTTTTGAGATAGTCTTGTTAAGTTGCCCACTCTGGCCTCAAACTTGCAATCTTCCTGCCTCAGCATCTTGAGTAGCTGGGACTACATGCATGCACCACTGTGCCTGGCAACAATTTCTTTTTTCTTTTCTTTTCTTTTTCTTTTTTTTTTTGGTACCAGGGATTAAACTCAGGGGGGATCTTAACCACTGAGCCACATCCCCAGCCCTTTTTATTTTTTAATTTTGAGACAAAGTCTCGCAATTTGCTTAGGGCCTTGCACTTGCAATCTTCCTGCTTACAGCTTCCCAAATTGCTGGTATTACAGGTGGGCACCACCACTTGGCCAACAATTTCACTTTTCAAAAATAAAAATCTAAGCTTACTCATGGAGTTGTTTACCTTACTTTGCTCCAAGGCAAATATTCAATTACTCTTTTCAAAAATAAATAATTTAAGTATAACATATATACAGAAAAGTGCACAAATCATAAGTTAACATCTTGATGAAATATTACAAAGTGGACACACTTATGTAACCACCAGCCATCAAGGAAACATCATCACCAGCCTCCTGGTCCCTTTCATTACTTCGTTCCTTCTTTCCCTAAAGTAACCATCATTCTCACCTCTCATATCCTCTACTAATTTTGAACTTAATTAATTTATTGTAGTGCTGGGAATCCAATCCAGAGCCTTGATCACTTGAACATGCTTAGCAGGTGCTCTAACACTAAGCTATATGTATCTCCAGCATCTGAATTTAATATCTGAACCATACAACAGTGTTTGTGTGTGTGTGTGTGTGTGTGTATACAAAATATACATATTTTATTTTTTGATACTGGGGATTGAACCCAGAGGTGCTTTACCCCTGAGCTACATCTCCAGCCTTTTTTATTTGGAGATAGGGTCTCACTAAATTGCTTACGGCCTAAGTTGCTGAGGCAGGCCTTGCACTTTTGATCCTTCTGCCTCAGTCTTGAGTTGTTGGGATTACAGGCATACACTACCTCGGTTGACTCAGTATGTATTCTTTAGTTTTTGATTTATTTTGCTCAATTTATTTGCATTTCTGATTTAGGATTAGAAACAAGCTATCTTGTTGCTATTGGTATATGCTTCATCTTTTTAGATAAATTTTAATAATTGCCAGATTGTCAGCAAGTTCACAAATACACTACAATAGGTGAAGACTAATACACGTATTTTAGGAGGAGAAAAAGTCAGTATTTATTGGAATTTCACTGAATCTGTTCCTTCTATTGGTAAGCAAAAGGCAGACAGTAGCTGAACTTCTCAGGAGTCTAGGGTATCATTTTTTTCCCTCCCTGTGCTGGGGATGGAACCAAAGGGCTTCTTCTCTGCCAGGCAAGCACTGTACCACTGAGTTACATCCCCAGACCTCTGTCATTTTGAAAGCTGTGTATTTTGGATAATATGCCTTATCATTCACGTCTTTCTGTTGGAATAAAGTGAGATGTGAAGGCACTTGGTGACTGCAAAAACACTACACAGATTCCTGGCACTGTTTTGATGTTGGATTGCCTCTTGGTAGCCAAGAGATGAAGATGATTCTTTGGTTCTTCAGGATGATCTATGAGAATTCACAAACTTAGATGGAAGTTCCCTCAAGTCAAGGAAGAACATATTTTGGGGGTAAGGGTAGGAGGCAGAGAGATATGCAACGTTGGGCACTAATATGTAGAAGAATAGCTACAGGTGTTTTTGATTCTAGGAGGTTCATCTGGGGTGGCTTCTGAAGGAGCTGAAATTTCAAATTAGGAAATAGGGTTTCCAATCATTCCTACAGGGAGAGGTGCTCTGGAATGATCATGGGAATTCTATTCCAGGAAACTTAATCTTCTTGTTCAGCCTGCTACTACCATGATGGGAGACATGAAGAAAAGAAAGGCTATATGGGGCTGGGGATGTGGCTCAAGCGGTAGCGCGCTCGCCTGGCATGCGTGCGGCCCGGGTTCGATCCTCAGCACCACATACCAACAAAGATGTTGTGTCCGCCGAGAACTAAGAAAAAATAAATAGATGATAAAATTCTCTCTCTCTCTCTGTGCCCCCCTCTCTCACTCTCTCTTTAAAAAAAAAAAAAAGAAAAGAAAGGCTATGGCAGTTCAGTAGATGAATGGATACAAAAAATGTGCCATACATACACAATGGAATATTACTTAATAATAAAAAAGAATAAAATCTTGGCATTTGCAGGTAAATGGTAAATGGAGTTGGAGAAGATAATGCTAAGTGAAGTTAGCCAATCCCAAAGAAACAAATGCCGAATGTTTTCTCTGCTATAAGGAGGCTGATTCATAGTGGGGTAGGGAGGGGAGCATGGGAGGAATAGACAAACTCTAAATAGGGCAGAGGGGTGGGAGGGGAAGGGAGGGGGCATGGGGATAGAAATGATGGTGGAATATGATGGACATCATTATCCAAAGTACATCTATGAAGACACAAATGGTGTGAATATACTTTGTATATAACCAGAGATATGAAAAACTTGTGCTGTATATGTGTAATATGAATTGATGTTTTTTAAAATATATATTTATTTTAGTTGTAAATGGATCTTTATATGTGCGTTGAGACTCAAACCCAGGGCCTCACACATGCTAGGCAAGTGCTCTATCACTGGGCCACCACCCCAACCCCTGTAATATGAATTGTAATGCATTCCGCTGTCATAATTTTTTAAAATAATAAAAAAGAAGGGCTATGGCCCAAGGGTCATTATAGAGTCTTCGGGTAGGCACTTATGGATAACTAGCAAGCAATATAAGATCACAGTCCACTTACACTTGACGGGGTTGAGGAAGTACCTTGGGGATATAGAGCTTAGGCAGCCTTAGGTGGAAGGAATGCCTGGAAGGGCTTTTGGTATACAAAAGATACTGGGGTCTCTGGGCTGTAACATTTTTGCTCTTTAAAAGAAAAATGAAGACGACTAAAGTGGGGAAAAAATCCAAGTTTCAAGGCGGCTGCCAAATCCTTCTATGTCCCCCATTACACTACAGCGAAGTGGCTCTGGGTCTCCTTCAAAAAGCCAACCCAACTTCCTGGCTCCCACACACCCTCCTTCACCACAGGAGGATGGTGAAGGATTTATATCCCTCCTCCTTCCTCCAGTTGCCATGGAGACCAACCCCAGTCCTTTCATTCCTTCTGGTACCCGGAACATCTCTCCAGCGCAGGCGGAATAAGAGAGGGGCTTAGCTGAAACAAGCTAGGGGAGGGAGTCTAAGTGCAAAATAATGCGGAGAGGCTGGAGGCCTCGAGGGTAGCTGCGGAACCAGACCCAGGGACAAAGGCTTATGTCCGTCGCGGTTCAAGCCCTTACATCTGCCAACGACTGGAGGCCAGTCGCTGAGGGGCCTCTACTGAGCTGGAGAATGGCAGGACGGCATGAGCCAGGAGGGAGCACAAGGAGCAGCGAGAGGGGACACGAGGGCGTCCCGGGAGAGTTCCGGAGGCCGGGGCACAGACCTGCCGCCGGGTGGGGGAGACTGGGTAGGGAGGAAGGAGTTCGGCCCCTCCACCCACGCGCCCATTGGGCAGCGCCGCCATCACTCCCCTCTCCGCGACACCGCCTCCTCCTCCGCGGAGCCCAGATACTCCTCTCCTCCGCCACCTTTTGCCCCGCCCCGTCCTGGGAGAATCTCATTGGACGGGGGCGCGGTCGATCCAACTTGAGTCAGAGATTCGATTGGACGAGAGGCCCTTGGGCCGCCCCTAGCCTACTTGGATTGGCTTGATGTGCCTTGGCGCAACGGAAGAGGCGGACGGCCCAGGGTGCGCCTCTGCTCAGGCTGGACTGCCGCGGAGGAGGCAGGAGGATTCCGGCGCTGGGGGGCTGGCTCGGGCGGCAGCGGTGGCT